ACGACGCCCCCGTAGCCCCCCCCGAACCCACCACCCTCCTGCGCATCCCGGTGGCCTTAGCGCCGGGCTTGATTTGATACCACTTGCCTCCGTGCTCCGACCGATACGAGAATCCCGCTGGGGTGTCTCATTCGCTACAATAGTGCCATGGTGCCAACAGTATTACATGGATTGAGCACGAGCACTCACAGCACTACCATAGAGCACTAGTAGAGCTAAGGCACCAGTAGCACTAGAGTACTTGTAGCACTGGAGCACTAATAGCCCTAGAACACTAGTGGCACCAGAGCACACTAGCGCAAGAGCACTAGCACTAGAGCACCAACAGCACTAGAGCAATACTAGCACTACGGAGCACTTAAGTAGCACTATATAGAGCACTAATATCACTGAGCACAAATAGTGCTAGGGCACATGTCGCACTGGAGCACTAGTAGCACCAGAGCGCTGACAGAACTAGAGCACTTGTTACACTAGAGTATCATAGCGCTAGAGACTAATAGCACTATATGACTCATTGCACTATATATATTAGTACACGAGCACAAATAGCACTACATCACTCATAGCAATAAGAGCACTAACAGCAATATATCACTGATACACTATAGCACTGTAACAATGGCACTATATAACTAATACCACTAGAGCACTCGTAGCAATAAGAGCACTAACAGCAATATATCACTCATACACTATAGCACTATAACAATGGCACTATATAACTAATACCACTAGAGCACTAATGGCACCAGGACACCAACAGCTCACTCCGCGCGCATTCTTACCAGAGCTTGGGCTCGAGGGACGCCTCGATGCTGAGGCCGAAGAGGTTGGGATAGGTCGTCAGAATTTTGGAGGCACCGGCGAGGCTAACGTCCAGCTTGTCTCTCAGCCACCACAGCTTGGGCTCGAGGTTGTCCGAGACGCTCAGGGTCAGGAATCCAGGTGATCTTTATTGTTTTTTTCATCACGTGGCGTCAGAATGCGAAACGAATAAAGCATGAACTAAGTATATTAAAACATTTGCATAGATACGAAAAAATACATGCTCTTATATATATCTTAATTGAATATATAAAATTTCGGGTTCTTGGAGGACTAGGGAATGAGAACCAATAGGCGAATAGCGCGGAGGAGGCGGAGAGAGCGGAGTAAACAGTGGCAGAGGGGGAGACCACGACTAAACAGGAAAATGTTGGGTTTTCGTGAGGGAATTGGCGGCGGGTATTTTCTTGGGGTCTTCTGCCTGAAAGAGAGATTTATTTTCGGACCTTGTGCTGACGATAAGGGGGCCAACAGAAAGGACGACGAGGATACGGGTGGGGACAAGAGCGACACCATTCGCTGCCCCCGTCACAACACCAAACCACACACACGAGAGAGAGAGGTGTCAAACCACACACACGAGAGAGAGACGTGACCACCCCGCAGTAGAGCAATGGGTCGAACGTACACCCGGCCCCATCCTCAAACGCAAAGCAACCTAGTAAACGCAGACTACATAGTGCCGTTGGTGGCTATTATATATATATAAATAGAATAACAAAAAAAAAAAACGACAAGACCAACATCATCAAGAGCAAAATAACGCACCTCCCGATGAACTTCCACGCGGCGGCCTCCGACATTCCCAAGCGGTCTTGAAGCCATTGCACCTGCCAAAACAAATGCGACGGCGAAAAAGGCGGAGGAGGAGAAAAAATTAAGCACGACGCTACCGGTGTACGTGGAGCAAGGCGGGGCAGAGAGGGGGGCACAGGAACCACTTAGCAAGAGCAGCCGGAACTTGGCGCGCGCAAGCGAGTCTTGCCAGTCGCCTGTTGCCTGGAAAAAGAATATCGGAGGACACGTTGGGTGAAGCGAAGGAGGCGCAGCATATACGACAGAATGACGAAAGGGAAAACCTGCGCGTGGTAGTAAAGATGGCGCCGAGACTGGGGTCCTTTTTTCCTTTGGTGGGTTACAATTGGCCTCTATACAGGTTTTAGTGTGGGGTGTGCTTACCTGGGCTCACAAAATAGTATAGTACACCCACGCTATCTATGTTCGACAAAATGTTGAGCAAGAAAGCCCTTGACTAACAACCACAGCAGCAGCAGCAGCAGCATCATCATCAACAACAGAAGTAGTGACCGTTGCACATACCTTTGGTGCGAGATTGCCGTCCGCGTTGTGTCCCAGCAACGACGGCTGTCGGAACAAGACTCGCCTGACCACCTTGCTAGAGGCGTGAGAGGTGAGCCACTCCAGCTTGGGGGCGAGGTTCTCTTCCGAACTGAGTGTGAAGAAGGTCGGAAACCTGGACAAGCAAGCGCCAAATTTTTCGGACAAGAAAATTAGGAAAGAGAGCAGATCATTTTCCAAGAAAAGGAGGTTCTCCTCCGAGCTGAGCGTGAACAAGGTCGGAAACCAGGACAAGCAAGCGCCAATTTTTTCGGACAAGAAAATTAGGAAAGAGAGCAGATCATTTTCCAAGAAAAGGAGGTTCTCCTCCGAGCTCGGCGTGAACAAGGTCGGAACAGCAAGCGCCAGAGTTTTCGAATAAAAATCTGAGAATAATTTAACACGAGACTTTTTCCAAGAAAAAGTCCAAACCGCCCGATTAAAAGCGAAACGGTCAGTCCGTTGTGTGCCGACGCAAAGAAACACGCCTCTAAAAGCGATGGAAAACTTCAGCAGATACGGCCTACCTGCTGCGAGTCTTGGTGGTCTTGCGCTGCCGTACGAAACGTGCGAAAAAAACAATGCGTCTTTTCTCTATCATAATAGACGTGTGCCACAACGAATACTCCTCTCGGTCACACACGCCACGCCCCCCCTCTTGACCTCAACTGGCACTCTGTCTGACACTACTTGCGCAAGCAGGAGGCCACAAGAACCTTGCCCCCTCAACAAGACAAATCCCCCCCGCTAGCTATACTGGGGGACGGGAAGTGGGCGGAAAAGGCGGGATTTGATATCGATAGGATAGGGAAAACATTCCTGAGCCACCTTTGGTCATTAGGAAGGAATGATTCGGCCATCGGTGATCATCGGTCCTGTGGGAACAAAGCTCCGTCCTCTTGGAGGACGCGTGGTCAACGGCCTAACAACGAAGGCATGCAAAACATGAGTACCGCCCCCCCGGCCGTGCCTACGAATCATGTCGAACACCATCTCTTGGTCCATCTGCAGGGCCTCTGCCAGCCAGGAGATCTTGGGCATGAGGCTCTCCTCGACGCTGCTGAGGATGACCCCCGGGTTGGCGTAGACGGTTCTTGCGGCCTCCTGCCGTGTGAAACCCAGTGTGTCCCTTAGCCACGCCACCTACAACCACACGTATGTACGTACATTTGCATTGTTTTCGCACACCGCCGTCAGGAATACATGCGCAGTTTCGAAAATGTTGTGTGTAGCAGTAGGGCGCGCTCGTGACTCAAAATAAATAGTTGTGTACACGAGCTTGCATCCGGCCTCGCACCATATGCATAGACGTCGAAAAAATAAAACGACGAATATGAAGGTGATCGTGAACCCGCCACTCACAACGCCCGCGACAGTGCCAGCAGAACCGTGAATCCGCAGGAAGTAGCGGGACATTCGAAAGAACGCAACTATCACTTTGGTGAAGGTGAAAGCATTTCACCAAAGACCTACGGGGTACAGTACCGGGTATGTATGCTGCACTCTCCCCCGTAGTAGCGATGCTCGAGTGTACGCTGGCGGGGGCGCCTTGAGAGACAGATACCCTTACTTACCCTTCTGAGAGCACCGCCCTACTGGTGTGCTGTGCCGCTTAGGAAAGCTCATGAGCAAGACACGAAAAATCCCACGCGAAACACTCCAACTCTAGCAAACAAACCGTCCTCTCCTCTCGCTTGCATCCTCTTCCTTAGTTCCCGCGCTTCCCTTAATCTATACGTATATATACCCATACATACCCCCCGACGGACTTCCGATTGCAACCGCTGTACTGCTGTATTGTTGTTTTTCCATGCCGTGTCTCCCGTGCACTAGACACACCCACGCCCTTTTGATTAGCCAGCCCGTTAGCGAGGTCGACGCAAAATAACAAAGAGGGCCACATACACTTACCCTTTTTGGTTAGAAACGTGTTCATGTTTACAATCCCGCTACAAGACTGACTCCCTTTCATTGGTCAGCCCGTTAGCGAGGTCGATGCCAAAAACAAAAAGACAGAGAGAGAACACACAAACACATGCAACGCACCTTGGGAGCCATGTTGTCGTCGATGCTGTGGGCGAAGATTGTCGGGGAGCGTACGACAAGACGGATCGACTGCGGCCTCGACAGCCCAACTTCCTGCTGGAGCCACCTGAGGTAGGATAGGACAGGAGAGATGTAACAACCACCAATGGTAATCGAAAGGGGGTGCGGAGGACGGGGGTAGGGTAACAAAATTCTCAGAAAAAAACATAAAACACACACATGTAGCGGGGCTGAAAATTACAACAAAGAAACACACACGCTCAATCACCAATTCACACAAGGTAGTTCAAAACGGAATAATTCGTGTCCGATTTTCAGTAAAGAGGCGGAGAGGTGGCAGTCCCCCTACACCGGCTTTCAAAGCTCGATTGTTCCCCACAACCAACGGGGGTGCGGAAACAGCCCCGTACTTGAGCGGAAAGCCCTCGACGAGATGAGTGAAAAACCGGCATTGTTGGTGTTGGCACAATCTTGGTTGTGTAGCAATCGAGTCTTGAAATCGGTCTAGCGCGGGGGGGGGGGGGGGGGGGGGGGGGGGTTTTTTGGGGGTTTTTTCTTTCAAAAAAAGGGAAAGGTGAATCTCTCCGGGGTTTAAAACCCCCCCAAAGGCCCCCTGGGGGGAAAAAAAAAAAAAAAAAACACAAACCCCCCGCCGGGGGAGAAAAAACCCCCCCCTTTTTGGCTTCACACCCGCCCCCCTTCTACGCGGGGGAAAAAAGGGCCCGGGGGCCCCAAAAAAAAATTCCACACAAAAAAAAAAAAATTT